GGCTAGGCTCAAGACCGCAGACTTGGGCTGAAAAGCCTGAAGAAAAAAAAAAGTCGACAGCGGCACGGAGGCGGACGGCACTGCAGTCGTCAACAGCACGCGAGGCTGAGGCTGGACGCTGCCAGCCCCGAATTGTCTCAACTGGCTCGTCCGGCTCGTCAGGGTTTGCAGGGGGGAGAGGGGGATGCAGGGGGAGCTGGCCGAACGCGGGGGGTTGGAAGCCGACGTGACGGAGGACGAGGACAGCACCGGCAAGAGAGCTCACACAACGGGGGAGTGAAGGTGCCGAAGCTGCGTCATCTAGCTGGCCAGCGATGGCGCGACAAGCGAGTCAGCCCAAGATGCGAAGTAAGCTGCAGGCGCGTGCTCGGCAGCACTGCGAAGTCCAAGCCCGCAGTGGCGCAAACACAGGTGCGCACGCGCGGCTGCAAAGTGGGGCAACGGGTCGGCACCACCGGGGCCGAGCTGGAGCAGCTGGGCGAGACAGCACAAGATGTAGCGGTCATGAGTGGCAGCGAAGAGAGCGCCGGTGGGAGCAACCGCAGGCAGTAGTGCACGCGAGGAGAAGCACAGTACAACAAGAACAGCCAGGAGACTTGCAGGTCGTGGGTGCCAGGCACGCAAACCACGGTCTTGTGGGGGAAGGGCGGGGTCACCGACCCAGGTGACGCACCCTTCGGGAAAAGAAGGGAGATTGGGTGGGGGGGCGCCACCGGAATCTCAGACACGGGTTTTACGGGCATGGAGCCGGATGTGCAACGACGTGAACAAATGGTGCTCCAGGCGGGACAAGACACATGCCGTGCGGGCAGGGAAGGTGGTGACATAAATGTCGTCTAAAAAAGCCCGCACGCGCTCGCCGGGGAGGAGCTCGGCCTGGAAGGAGCGGAGCGCAGGCGCGAGGCCAAGAGCGAAGAGGGCGGGCATCAGTGGGTCGCCCTGCTCGCCGCCTTCAGCTTGTGACACGCGGTGGGTGGCGCCGTCATCGTCGGACCAGACGAAGGAGGACGGACGTCCATAGAACAGACGGACGAAGGGGAGCATAGCGGCGGCGCCAGGTGTGTTTCGGAGCTCTGTCAGCATGGACTGGCGGCTTACACAGTCGAATGCGCCGATGCCATCGACAGAGAGGACAGTGCAGTGGGGGTCTGAGTCGGTTTCGAGTTGGAGGCAATGGGCGAGAGCCTCAGCACCAGCACGCGTGGAGGGCGAGTGGCTTCATCAATGTGCTGGCTAAACTGTTGGGCCAGCGTGCGGGCGAGCAGCCGGCGAAGGAAGTCACCGACAACGAGTCCCCGGACGCCGCCGGCTGGCTTGCGCAGTGCAACGAGGCGCCCGAGACCGAGGCGCCCGAGACCAAGGGCCGATGCAATCGAGGTGGGGAGGCGGGCGCGTGCGAGTAGCTGTGCGACCTCGCAAAATGCTTCGGAGGAATTGGCATCGTCAAGGAGCAAACGCGCGATGTCGGCAGTGAGGCCAGTGGGGCCGGGTGCAGCGCCTCGGCGTGAGCGGCGCAAGTTGGTGAGCAAGGCTGACGCTGGAAGTGTGACGGGTGCTTCAGGCGACCAAGACAACAGATCCGGGTCGAGTGGCGCATATGGCTGATTGGGGCGACGGGCCGGGTCGCGCAGCTGCGCGAGTGTGTTTTGATTGCCAGGGGCAAGTGGCTCGCTCAGTAGGGCACGGCGAGCGGCTGAGAGCTCGCCAAGGTGTGCAAGGTGCACGGCCCTGTCGGCACGCATGTCGGCGCTAGGCTCAGCAACCAACATGTCACGAAAAACGGTTTTGATCCAACATATGAACTCTTTGCCAAACAAAGACCGGCATTCATGTTGGGACATGTGAAGCCGACACGCCCAGGCCAGCATCAGCAGCATCAGAGGACACGCACAGGCCAGCATCAGCAGCATCGAGAGGAGGTCTGTTTTTCTTTTGGAAGTCGAGCAAAAACCACTTGGACAGTATTTTGTCAAGCTCCAAGTATAAAATCGCAGAAAAAACCCATCAATCCCCGGCACCCCTCCGATAACCCCCAAGCTCACTGTGAGGTAATGAGAGAGGCTCCCTCACGAGGGTCTTTCGTGTTTGAATCGGTGCGGGTACAGCGAACTGCCTCAGCCGTGCACGCTTGGCCCGACCCGTTCGAGGCAGCAAGCTAATGATGCCGACATTGCTGCGGCTTTTCCCTTTTTTTGCTTTGCGCCCGTTCGAGTCCAAGACTACGGTCCTAAAGACATGCAACGCGCCGCCATTCGGGCGACGATTGCAGCACAATCGATCCAACTATTTTGGTGAGGGTGAGTTGCAGCGAACATTCATCATTCCAGCACGTAGCGGGACGACTAGGCTTTTTCGGTTCGGCTTTTCACTGACATTATGCCACCATATCGTGGTATAAATGTGCTATCCGGGCTGACTCGCAAAGTTGCCAAGCCACTGTAAATTTTCGACTTTGCAGCTGTTTTTGTCCAATGGGTCTTGGGTGTTGGCATACCCGAGAGTTCGTTCATCCTTCTTATGACCATTTTTTTTGGCGTGAGCAGGCCTCGTCGACGGCGGTTGCCGCACTCGGTCCTAACGAAATCTACAAGAAGCAACAATGAACTAAAAAGCAACTAATAAACAGTGAAACGAGCTGCGACCAACAGACTTAGCCGGCAAGAGTCGTTCAGCAATGAATTACCCGTCTCATATCAACATCGGCCTCTCTCAGATGCA